CAGCAGGGTTCTCCTTATGTTATTATGTGTGCTTGTTTTCAGTGGGTTGCAAATGCTCAGTGGTATATTGTTATATTACGCATACCTGGGTTGAGAAGACATTAGATCCTGTTGCAAAGGAACAACAAAATCATTTCCTTGCAACCTTCCCCTGTGAAATGTGAGGCAAGATATTAAAAGAAGAAGCACCTCTTAAAAGCACTAAAGTGGGTGTAGTTATGTTTTAAATAAGCAGTCAGTGTTGTCTAATTGCCTTTTCAAAGAAAGATTTCACTGAAATGAATTGAGAAAAAAACCAAACCAAACCACAGGACCTTTAACCACATTTTATATACTGTATCCATGTAAACTGTTTCGGTTTTTTTAAACATTCTTCACAATTCACTTCTAAAGCTGGAGAATTGTTTTTAACACACCACCTGAATATGTGAGTAGCATTTTTGTTTACAAAAAAAAATTCACCAAAACTTGCATTTATACCTGAGCTGCTATTAAGCCGTTAAATGTTTACATCAGTCCAAGAAAGAATACCTAGAAAATGTAGTCTGGCATTTGATGATGGCAGACTTTGCTCTCTATACAACTGTCTAGAAAGGCTCAGCAGGCCAACTCACTGTTAGAATTCATAGGCAGAGTCGTTTGTTTTGCTTTCCCAGGCATTTTAAAACTTAAACTGATGTTGATGTCTCCTGCAGTTTAGGAGTGTTTGGATGTTGTTGTTTTAGTGTTTAGGGGTTTTGTTTGTTTGCTTAGCTCTGATGAATTGGATGTCACCTTGGGAGCTTTTTAAGGTAGAATGGATGATTCATAAATTTTATAAACAAATATTTGCTGTCCAAGTCATTGTGGGACGCCTTCTGCTGGCTAGGCTGGGAAAACCTTTAGGCTTGCTGACACAGCTACTTTGACCCAGTTGGACTTGGCAGTGGACAGACGTAAGGCTGTGGGAACCTGTCAGGATTTGCACGCCCCTTGTTCCCTATTAAGAAACTTTGGAGAATGATAGCCTCCATTCATGAGGGTGCCTGTTACTGAATGTTGAACATGCCCCTAGCAAACTGCTTGCAGTTTGAGCCAGTGGAGATTCCCTGTCCCAGGCTTGATGTCCTTTACTCACTTAGCCCTGCCTGGTTAAGGTCACTTTAGGACTGGATCTCTTCACGGCAACCCATTTCAGAGCAAAGTTGACAGACAGCAGCCCAGCCAGCCCACTTTGCATATTCTTGATAACATTCTAGCTCCTTTGTCACATGGGATTGCTTTGGAAATGAATAGTAAAAAAACAACAACACAAAACCACAATCTGGGGGGTTGAAAGCTTTGCCAGTGTTTCCTAAGGATCATGTAACTCCCTGCAGCAATGCTTCAGTTCCAAAAGTTCACACTGCAATAAATCACATCCAACAGTGCCACAGTCTTTTTTTTTGCTGTTGTCTTTGCTTAAAAAGATTAAGGAGGCTACTCCTTTTGAATCATTAACGTAGGCTGATTTAATGGCCCAGTTTACCTGTAACATTAAATCAAAACATGACTTACTTAGCATGAAGAAGCAAACATATAAGCTCCCGGAGAGATCATGGCTGCTTTGCTCATTTTGCTGCTGCGCTGCACTGAGCTAAACCATGGTTTGGTTTAGCCTGTTGTTCAAACCTGGGCTTGTGATTTAGGTCTCTCCAGACAGACAATGAACAGAAACCATAGGTTTTGGCTAAAGGCTTTCTTCTTGTTCACACTGAGATTTCACTATGTGATCTTGTATGGCAAAAGATGAGTTGGCTTGGCGAACTGACCCTTAAATACTTAGAGAATGTATGTGAAGAAAGTAAACAAAATCCCTTGTGACTGCAAAACTCAAACTTAGTCTCTCTTTCACCCACACCCACACCCCCTCTGTCTTGCCTTGGTTTTGATAGACTCTGCCTGTTTGCAGGAACCATTCATTTAACACTGTTTTGTACATACAGGGAGAAAAATGAACACAAAAAGCCCCAACAAGTTTGGCTCAAGACTGATACGTACCTCTGCAGATTACAGAAGAGCTTGTGAAAACAAGGCTGTTAAAGCTGGAACAGACTGGAAAGACAGTCACGCATGAGATACTAAACTGGTCATGAGACAGGGATTTGTTCTCACTGATGTAGAATAATAACCAAATAAAATGGTTTGTTAAGTGATGGTCAGCCATTTATTTCAGCACAGGGAAGTTCACACTGGAAACAATTGACAATGGTATGAACACTTTATACTACCAAGGGAATAATGAACATTTTGTTTATTTATTTACAACTAGTAGACTCAAAGCTGTCATTGCTCGGGAATTCTAAAAAACAACAAAAACAACCAGTGCACATTTGGAAATCAGTGGTTAAAATCAGTGCAGTTATGAAAATTTCAGTCCATCATCTTGACTCAAAATGGCTTCCAACTGTATTCAAACATCAGTGAAAACCCACTCCTTGATTTCAGGAAACATCATGCATTATTTGGTTACAAAATCTTAAGAGGCGTCTAAATACATAGTGAACAAACAAACTTTGCAAAATATAAAGCAGATACTTACATCCTGCTTTATAGTCCTGAGATGCTCTCAAAGAAGCTTCCAAAAGATTCTCAAAATAAGATCGCATTCAAACCTGGTACAGGAACCAAAACCACTCAGTGTACATTAGGGACCAGGATTATTCAGGCAGCATTTCCTGCCCTCTTCCTTGTCCTTCCCTGATGTCAGACCAGGCAGCAGTTCCCACCAAAATCTGAGCCAAGGGAATATTCTTGAGCAGCTGCATCTTGCTCTGCTCATGATGGAATGGAAACAGACTTCCCCACTAGCAGTTGGCAAGCAGCAGATCCTCTGAGGCGCAGGGGCGGGGAACCTGTGGCCCTCCAGATGTTGTTGGACTCCATCTTTCATCAGCCTCAACTATCATGGCTGATGGTCAGGGATAACTGGGGCTGTAGTCCAGCAGCATCTGGAAGGCCACAGGTTCCCCACTTGCTCCTGCTCTGAGGCAAGGAAGGAGGGCTGAGCAGCTGGATCTCGTTCAGCACATGATGGAACAATATGGCTCCTGAAACAAACTGATGTGCTATTACCCTATATTACAACAGCAAGCAACTAAAAAATTAAACCCTGCATCCAAATCAAATATGGATAAATCCTTTCAACTTGTATATATGGCTTCAAAAACTCCTCAGTTCAAGCAGTTGGAGCTTCAAAGGACAGCTGCTACAGGTTTGGTCCAGAGTATTGATGATTTACAGATGAATCCTAAATGTGTATGTGTGTGAGATCTCTAACACAGCCACTGCTAAATCATGGTAACGCGTCAGTGGAAACATGGGAGGCAGAATTTATTGGCTCCCAACAGAACTTTAGAATTTTTGATCCTGCTCTCCCCCCAATAAACACACACACATTGGGCCTTAGATACAAGGCTGCTTCTTACCTGCTGCTGAATGCTCTGGTTTGGGTCTGCCACTAGCACAAACATTGCAGGTGGTAGATCTAAGCCCAGCTCTGTGCACATCCCACAGCACAGCCACATCACAGTGGATGCATGCCACTTTCCACAGGTGGAGCACCTTTTTGCAAGCAGAGGGGCACTTCTACCTCCTCCAGCCAGTGGCTCTGCAGGTCAGGACTTCACACTTATGGCATTTTAGTACGTAATCCATTTCTTTACAAATATACTAGATAAGCAAGAAAGAACCTGGACATGGAACTGCTAGTTTGCAAAGCAAATAAATTCCTTCAAAAGCAAATCTGCACTCACACTTGGAAACTCCCAACACTGTTTCTTGTTAGCCAGCTGCACAAACTCTGGCCTGATGTGCAGAAACAGCAGGGGAGGTGGCAAATTAATTATCATGGCATTTGGATGCTGCCCTGTAGCATAGAAGTTTTCTGGACAGTTTGTCTTAAATAAGAAAGCAACTGGAACACAAAGAAGACACAAAACCCAAAGCAACATAAATACAACCAAACAAAACCTCACCACATGCACAGATTTTAAAACTGAACGGTCCACATTACTACCAGTTGTTTAAAAGACCTGGTTGATGAGAAAATATCACAAAGACAGTGCCAAGTGAACCTTCCTGGGAAGGAAGGCTGCTCAATAAATAACTGGGTGGCCACTGCTGAAAAGGCCTTATCCCTGGTGTTTACCCACCTCACTTCATTCCTTAAGGGTCTCCAAAGAGCACCTTAAGGTTGGACTAGGTACATAGGATAGAAGGCAGTATTTCAGATGACCTGGTCACAAGCTACTCAGGGCATTAAGAACATAAGAAGAGCACTGCTGGATCAGGTCAGTGACCCACATCCTGTTCTCAGTGGCCTACCAGATACCTGTGGGATGCCCAGAAGCACTTTCTCCAGCTTTAAGGCACTTTAAGTTGGGCCCAGAAAAGCACTCGGCGCCACTACAGTTGCCAAAGCACAGGGATAATATGGTCAAACCACCTTGTTCTCAATTGACAGCAGTTTTCATGCCATTTTAAAAAGTATGTAGCACATTGCAATAATCGAAACAAGCGCATGGGTAATGAAGATTGACTGCAAGTTGCCTAGAGGCTGCCCCAGTTTAAGCAACTTACCAATTATAAATTACTGTTAATAACGATGGTGGACACGCGATATTCCTCCAAGTTAATGTATGCACAATATTTGACTTCAAGGTCATACGACTTAACCCACATGAAAACACTCCCTGCGTTTAGAAAAGAAGAGTGGACATCACAGAGTTCTAGCAGGCTCCCGTGCTAGTTTTCTGGGTGCTGCGATTTATTTTTCGAGGGCGAAGGTGTGCTCAGTGATGCCATCAGGGCAAGGCTTTGGGACAGAAATCTAGGGCGCCATTAGGCAAAACGAGAAGGAGTGTCCCTAAACCAAGGAGTCCTGGCATAGTGCAATAAAGTGAAGAAATACACTTTATACACACTAGAGAAGACAGGAGTTGCACCTGGGTACAGGCAGAGTGCCATTCCCTCACGTCCAGATGAGGGAAGAGGAGGGCTTCGGAGTAAATCCCCGCTGGCTTCCAGGCAGGCTCGAACCGAACACCTCCAGGCGAGCCATCTCTGGGAAAGGAGCCGCCGGGGCGGGCGGACGCGCCTCCCTCGGCGCACGAGGGGAGGCCCGGGCCCGCTGGGAGCCGCCCCTCTACCGCGCCGTCCAATGGCAAGAGCCGCGCTCGCCTTCCTCGCTTCCTTTCTCCCGCGGGAGGCGGCCGGGCGCTGGGCAGACGGGGAGCCGCTTCTCCGGCGCCGCCACCGTCGTCGAGGGGGCGTCCCGAGGAGGAGGCGGCAGGCAGGCGAGCGGGAGAGGGCCGCCGCGGGCGTTTCAAAGCGGCGGGAAAAGGGCGAAGAGCGGCGGCTGGGCAGGCAGGCAGGCAGGCAGCCGCGAGTCCCGCGGGGCCATGGGTCGCTGCAGGCGGCGGCTGCTGCTGCCGGGAGCTCCGGCGCTCGCCCTCTTCCTGCTGCTGCTGCCCGCTTGGCTGCTCGGGAGCTGCGCGGAGAAGCTCGGTGAGTCGGGGCCGCCGGGGCCATTTTTGAACGTTTCCTTTGAACTGGGAAAGTTTAGAGCGCGGAAGGATTGTGTGAGAGAGTGACTGAGAGCGTGTGTGTGTGTGTGTGTGTGTGTGTGTGAGAGAGAGAGAGAGAGAGAGAGAGAGAGAGAGAGAGATTCTCTGTATGTGTAGAGAATGACTGAATGCGACAGCACTGGAAAAGCTCGTGGTTTAACTCTCTGAAAAAGATACCAGATGTTCTTTGCCTTCGAGGGATCAGATTCCTGGAGATTTAAAACAGCATTTGAGATTTCTTCCTTCATCGTCTTTTAATAATAATAATAATAATATATAATATAATTGTGCATATTGTGGCAGAGCGGATGTTTTTCTCACCTTTGCAATAAGTAGTTTGTGGCTGGTCAGCTTGTGTTCATTAAATGGTTGAAAATGCAGGACTTAAAGGCTAGAAGGTATTTGGGATGAACTGGCACATAACAGGACCAAGGTATGATTTGCGGTGCTACTCTTGTCAGCAGATGTTGTTGAAGTCCAGACTCCATCACCTGCGACTATTGGCCAAACTGGCTGGGGGCTCATGGAGTTGCAGTCCCAAGAACATCTGGCACACCAGCTAACCTTGTGCTAGATATATATTCTACTTTACCCCAGTTTCCACATGGAAGAGCCCTAGCTCAGCAGCAGAGCACATTCCTTGCATGCAAAAGGTCCCAGTTTCAGTCCTAGAAATCTCTAGGTAGAGCTGGGGGGGGGGGGGCTGCCTTGAAACCTAGGAGAGCTGCTGCCAGTCAGTGTTGACATTACTGATCTGGATGGATCAATGGTCTGACTTGGTATAAGGTATTTGGCTTCCCAGTGTTGTTCGTCACAACAAAGCTTTGAAGGAGATGGAGTTTATTTGCAGATGGAGTACTGGGGTTGATGGACAGCAACTTGTCCTGCAGTGCTCAAATCAAATGTCAAGACTGTCCCGTTTGCTTCCATGAAGAGATTCCTCCTTTGTACACATACGGCTGCCTTCTTTTTTGAAGGGAATGAAGAATCCTGATGCATGGTGTGTGTGCAGAGATGTAGATTGCAGGAGGCAGTAAAAGGCTGACTTGGGAAATTAATAAGGCCAGAGAATGCACACTTAATAGGACTGAAATGCAACGTTACTCATATTTAATATAAGATAATTTTCCACATTTTGACAGTTGGTTAATTCACTTGTTGCTAAATAGCTTGGCATCTTGCTGGGAAGCTGAGCATCAAAAGCTTTCTGAAAATCCTATCTTGACCATTAAATAGTGTGATGAGAAGTGTGAAATTGAATGTTTGCTTTTTAAATATAAGACGGTCCTTTGATTTTTGTGCTTTCCATTTCATCACTGCATTTCTGCCTGTAAAACTTGTTTAGTTTGGCAATGCATTCCACAGGGACGAAACTATGCTTTATTTCACCCCGGTTGAAGACTTAGTTTGGCACCCCCACACATATATTTGTGTACACACACACACACACTCAATGGCACCCCTCTGGAGGCTTCATCCAGGGCAAAAAGCCTGGATAGCTCTGCATTCCCTAAGGAATCTGAAGTAGACAACCTGTAAATCATGCAATGGAAGATCACATATACTTTGTTCTCTGTTCTTAGATGCTTTGTTTGTGGTTTCAAAATTAACGGTAGTTTTCCTTCGCTGGAATCCTGTGCACGTTTACTTGGAATTAAGTCTTGCAGTGTGCTCATAGAGGTTCACTTCCAGGGTTCACCCCTGGTTTGTTATCCTTTTATGTTTGGTATTCCATGCAATTTTACTTCATTAGCTATGTGTGCACTTCTTAGGTGAACTTTGCTTTCTGTAACTCTTTGTTCATGTAGGAATTTCCACTGCCGAAACCTAGGGCTGTCAATAATAACTTGAGAAAAGACGATGGATGAATGTAGGCTGCCAGGCGCAAGAGTCTTATCTAAGGGACGCTGTGGAGGTACATTGATTTTGCTGGCTGAAACAGCTGAGGTAGAAAGGAATCTCCATTACGTGCTGTGGAACTGTGACATCTGGCAGTTCTAGAGGGAGGACGGTGTAAATATTCTAATAAAAAGAGATGTTTTAACTGCACACAATAGCTTTCCTTAAGGGTATAGAATTGCCAAATAATTTTTGCTATGCCAGTTAAAAATAGAGGTTTTTTTCCCCTCTCCTTTTAGTCTTTGCCCTCTTCCCCTACCCCCCCCACCTTTGCTTTGTCTGTGCCAGTAGAACAATGAATTATGCTGTCTTAGCTGATTTTAGTGCTTTATATAGTTTGACCCGGTTAATCCATGCCTAGTTTAGCCATGTGTCTAAGTAGCAGCAAGATTATAACAGTAACCCATATTTTAAAGTCGATGCATGTGGACTGTTGTTTTTTTTAAAAAAAAGCTTTTGATTTTTAATTTAGAATAGAAACACAAATTATGAAGATCAGTTTTACTACAAAGCATGGTTGATGCAATGTAGTGCAATGGCTAAGAACCAGTGCCGGGAAGTCCCCCGTTTAAACCTCAGCTCTGCCATGAACATACTAGTTGGTCTTAGGCCAGCCATTACCCCTTTCTGTGTCAGCCCGGACAGCAGCAGCAACATGCAAGTAGGAGAGGACTCAGCTGGTAGAGCATGAGACCCTTGATCTCAGGGTCGTGGGTTCCCCCACGCTGGGTAAAAGATTCCTGCATTGCAGGGGGTTGACTCTCGGGGTCCCTCCAAATTTACAGTCCTAAGCCTAAGCAAAGAAACTGATGGTGGTAGATAATAATAATAATAATAATAATAGTAATAGTAATAATGACCTGCCTTGAAAGATTGTAAAATGAGAGGATGTGAAATCCTTCAAACATTCAAAGTACTGTATAAATATTAAGACATTAATCTTCTGCAAAAGTTTTTCTAATGCCTGACTTGGTCTTGGGTATGTCAGAGGATAGGCATGGCCAGCAAAAGATTTAGTGTTAACCTTTGTATGTATTGATATTATCTGCTGTGATGTCGCTTGAATGACAGTGAATAATGAGAGTTGCGGTTATTCATTAGCTTGTTAAACAGGCCATAGCTGAATGAAATCAATACCCAGGGGTCTCCATAAGATTTTAACAATTGGAATGGGTATCAGTTTAACTCATTGCTAACATAAACTCTTACTGTAAAATCTCGTTTATGTACCTAACGCATTTGCTTCCAAGACAATTGGAACATAGGAAGCTACCTTATGGGACCATTGCTCCACCTCTGCTGACAGACAGCAACTCTCCAGGGTTTCAGACAAGGTTTTCTCTCAGCCCTGCCTGGAGATGCTGGGTGTTGAAGATGGTTGTGGGCTTACTGTACAAGCTTAAACTGTGTGGTAATTATTTCTAGTGCGAGCAAAAATTACATTCCTGGCAACCTCTGTGCTGCTCCTGTGAGAGACTTCTGGGCAGAGGTGTCACCCACAATTTCCTCCCAACAGCGTGCTAGACCTGTCTCCAACCTGTTCAGTGGAAAGCTTTTTGCTTTCTCTTTGTCCTCTCTTTCTCTCTTCATAGAGAGACAAGGAGTAGGGTTGATGCTCTTCTGTGTTCCACTAGCTGAGAGATAAAACGGGGAGGGAGGCACCAACCAAAGGAACAAAAGAAATGAGACACATCCAAGTTGCACAGGAAACAATGCAGTTTATTGAAGTCCCATACATTTTTTTATGCCACCGGGCAGGGGTGGGGGTGCAATTACACACACGCATGCACACACACACAACAACAACAACCTGGAGCTGCTTCCTTAAAATAACTGCTTGGAAACCATTGCACACTTCTCTGAAATAACTTGTAAGGCATCCTAGAGGGAGTTTTTATGCCTCTGGGCTTAAAAGCTGAAGTGCATTCCAACCATGGCAAACTGCTCCATTGGGCTGAGGGAAACAAAAGCAATAGGGAGTTGCTCTTGCATGAGTGCACACTTGTCTCCTGGCAGAGACATACTTTTTGTCACTATGTGGGAGTGCTGCTGCTAGTATCCCAGTGGCGTTGGTATCTCCCATTTGAAACAACTTCACATGATCAAGCTCCATGCCTGCAGAAGTAACAAGCTTTAGCATCAAACCTTATTGCTAAACGAAGTTGACCTGCACAAAATGGTGCTCTGTGGGATTTAACTTAGACATATACACAATCATTCCCTGAAAGAGTAATGCATTTCCAACGACATGACTGTATTATCTCAGCCCATTGCAATCTGTGAGACATGTTTTGGGGGAGTTGTGTGAACAGATACTTCCATATACAGAAAATATAGTGTCAGCAAGGAAAGATCCTGTCGTAGATTAGGCAGTATGTCTGTGCTTGCATGTTGTATTTCCCAAATTCATCCTTGTGATCCAAAGTCCTGTCTCAACAGCAGCATAAAAATGTCTATGGAGTTGTAGAGTCTTAAAGAGAAAGGGCAATGGAGCAAAGGGTGAGAAGGTGGTGTTCTAATGATGTTTGCTTGTTTTCTTATTAAAAGAGCAGTGCAGGTGCTTAGTACCTCAGTAGGTAAAGGTAAAGGGACCCCTGACCATTAGGTCCAGTCGCAGACAACTCTGGGGTTGTGGCGCTCATCTCACTTTATTGGCCAAGGGAGCCGGCGTACAGCTTCCGGGTCATGTGGCCAGCATGACTAAGCCGCTTCTGGAGAACCAGAGCAGCGCACAGAAACGCAGTTTACCTTCCTGCCGGAGCGGTACCTATTTATCTACTTGCACTTGACATGCTTTTGAACTGCTAGGTTGGCAGGAGCAGGGAGCAGAGGCTTTGACAAGTTCTTCTGCCCCATCCTCAATCCTAGGTAGAGCTGCTCTAGTCAGTTTGGTGTATCAGACTGGCTAGAAATGATCAAAAATGTGTTGGATCCTGGAGCGTTGTAGCAACATTTTAACATGTTGGATCCTGGAGCATTGTAGCAACATTTTAATGCCATATATGGGTGGTTCACATGCACCCCAAATTTTAGCAAAGAACATGTAACTCCCACGACTGATTGACATCAGTCAATAAGTACCGTATTTTTTGCTCTATAACACGCACCCGACCATAACATGCACATAGTTTTTAGAGGAGGAAAACAAGAAAAAAAATATTCTAAACGAAACAGTGGATGTATGATTTTTGTGGTTCATGCTGTGGCCACAGACATGTGATCTGATGGTGAATTTGGGGTGACCCAGTGCAAAAATCCTGAGGATCCATGTGGATCCGTGCTTTGTAACCACGTTTTAAGTGGGGAGGGAAGGAAAAGCACTCAAGGGACAAGGAGCACGCATGGGGTGTGTGGAGAAGGATGCTGCTAATAATGAAGAAGAAGAGGGGAGAAAGCTCCTCTCCTCTCCCACTTTGCTCCTTTAAAGCAAGCAGGCTCTGCTTTTCTCCTTCCTCCCCGCTCATCCCCGGTTTAGCGAGCTGAAAAACTTTGCTGCTACTTAGCGAGCTGAGTGGGGAGGAGAGAGGGACAGAGAGCCTGCTTGCTTTAAAGGAGCCAACCGGACAGGAGCCTCTTACACTTGTGTAAGCGGCTCCTCTCCTCTCCCGCTTTGCTCCTTTAAAGAAGCAGGCTCTCTGTCCCTCTCTCCTCCCCACTCAGCGGCTCTTCTCCCGCTTTGCTGTTTCAAAGCAGGAGGAGGGAAGGAAGGGGAACCATGGATCCTCTGCTCACGACTGCAGCAGATCCCCCCCGCCACCCGCAGGCATTCGCTCCATAACACGCACAGACATTTCCCCTTACTTTCTAGGAGGAAAAAAGTGAGTGTTATGGTGCAAAAAATACGGTAATCCTGCTGAGTAAGTGTGCTTTCAGGATTCACATGCAAAAGCCTGTTTTACAGCCCTGACCACATTTGCATGTGAACTTTGACTTACATATCGGAGCCGGTTTCTTGCTTGCCGGGGCAGTCCTGGTTTTGTCTGGGTGTGGACAAATACAGTCTGCAGTGTAGTCAACCACGTATGCAGCTGATGCTGGCAACTGCCCACTCCCTTCTGTTGCTGGATAGGGAAGTTCTAGCCATTCAGCTCTGCAGCTGATGGGTTTTCACATTAAGCTTGGCTGTGCTAGTGTGCACCTGGCTGGGACAGGACTTCTCACATGTGAAATGGACTAAGGACTTGCAGAGCAGCATTTGTGGCTGTTACTGTCAGGGAGGAAGCCAGCTCCCAACCCAGCTGTTCTGGCTTTGTGAAGTATATGTTTCACAGCCCAGTCCTAGGTGTGTCTACTCAGAAATAAGTCCCACTGAGTTCAGGTTATTGTACGTAGGATTGCAGCCTTTGATGTTTAATCACTGCACTTGTGACTTCTCCCCACCCCACGAGCCCCTTGAGCCAGATAACAAAGCTTGTGAAATTTATTTCAAAAAAGGGAAGTTATCCAATGCTTCCATTTATTTACGAATGACTAGATTGTGAAATGTGAGTTTTTAAGCAGGGGCTTGTATACATCAGTTGTGAAACTTGTTAAGTTATTATGGAGACTTTTCAGTAGACTTTGTTGTTCAATGAATTCTGTGGAATTCAATCCCCCCTGCCCAACTCATTTCCCGTACATGCAGTACACAACTCAGGCTTCATGCTTTCGGGGAGCAGCTTCCTCACTGAGTCGCCTCCTGAGAACTTGGGCAAATTGTAAATTTTGAGGATGTTTGATTGCTGTTTTTGTCTTGTTATTCACTATTATAATTTGTGCTGCTTTGTTCACCACTTCATGCGGATTTCTTCATCTCTCCCCCCCCCCCCCACAGCAGGATATAAATCTTTTTTTTATTATTTTTAAAATGCATCAAAGTTCACAGTCTATTCATGCAGAATACTGGCCAGGCCTTTTGCCTTCCTGAGTGAACAGAGAATGCAGCCAATGCTCTCCTCTACAATTTGTAGCAAAAACCAGTGGCCATACTGTCTTTCAGAAAAGTTTATCTTCTGAAGGGAGATCCCTGTTCTGGACCCAGATCCCTGATCTGGACCCTCCGAGTTCCTGGAACACAGTTTGAAAACCACTCGCAACTGTATGTGAATTGGGTTATAAACATTGATGTTGGGTGAGCAGGAAATCACTAGTTCTGTTGAATTGGAATATAATTGTTGAGTAACAAATGTAACTTTCTGTATGGGAAAAAAGAATAAAATATTATAAAAAAGAAAAGCAATAAAGTAGTATTTTGTTTTTAGAGTATCTTCTTGAAATATAAACACTTGAGAGAGACAGATTCATTGTAGCTAAGGTTCTTCTTTAAAATAAAAATCGAGCATCCTGGTATTTGTGTGTTTATCAATATGTTCCAAGTTCTGTGCTTAGTGTACCACGTTAAGTGGGATGAGGCCAGTAGCAGTATATATACAATGGGGCAGTTCAAGAAAACTGTGATGGTGGAGAAATTCTCCACTTTTTAATGTTTTCTCCTGATAATCTGCTAAGGCCACTGCTGGAATTGTGCACAGCCAATGCTGCCAATCAGATCAGTGTCTCCCACCAGAAGAGAGCGAAAGAAAGAAAGAAAGAAAGAAAGAAAGAAAGAAAGAAAGACAAATGTGTCATTTTCATTCCCTTTGAGTTTGTTTGTGAAGGTCCCTAGCGCAATGCGATGCTGGAAGGAATCAATTAAATGAAGAAAGAGAGGACATAGGTCTTCTTGATACACAGGTCTTTCTAAAACTAAGACCGATTTTAAAGGGTAGTCAATAAGTAGAGCTGAGAAGTAAGTATCAGGTTTCTTTGTTTAATTCATGATGCATTTTAATAGTTCACTTCTTTTTGTCTTGCAATGGCACCTGGTTTACTCCCTGAAAATTCTTGAGTACTGACACATCCTTGGCTTGGACCGGGGCAAACATTTTGGCTCCCTCTTCCCCCAACCCCAAAGCATCTTGTTTCTCTAACAAACCTTAGTAAATATTTAGCCACCCAGGATTGTCAAACCAGAAAAACTTGTGTGAGCTGTCCCAGACAAAGCCCTTCATAACCTTAAAAGTCCATATTGGGCAATGTAAACAGACACCTATGGGGAGGAGGGATTCCCGACATGCATTCCCTTTGCATCCACCTTCCGATATCCCTGAAGCCTCCTCTGTTTGGAGCAACAGGCTTTGGGACGGATTGAGCCTCATGGTGTTCCCCAACTAAATAATCACTGATGTATTTTGAATAGGAATCACAACCCCAGTTATATTATCCTGGTTTTATATGTTCAAGTATGTGTGTCTAGAACAGCCTTCTTTAAACTGGTGTCTGCTAGCCATTTTAGAGTAGACTACAGCTTGCACTTTTACAAATGCCGCTCATTTTTCCATTCTGCTTTTGTGAGAAGTTGTGCCTCTATCTAGTGTGGCAGCGCCTATGCTATGGAACTCCTTGCCTGTTGACAGGACCCTTTGCTATGCTGTGTTAGATGCCTGCTAAAAATTTTCCTGTTTCTGCAAGCCTGTCCAGTCACGTTATTTAAAATCATAGAACTGTAGAGTTAGAAGAGACCACGAGGGTCGTCTAGTCCAGCCTCCTGCAATGCAGGAATCTTTTGCCCAATGTGGGGCTTGAATCTATGACCCTGAGATTAAGAGTCTACCGACTGTTTTACCCCACCTTAGTTACATTGGTTTTAAAAGTTTCTTATTTTATCATCTTACGTTTTTTGAAATTGGATTTGTGCGGTTTTAACCATGCTTTGTATATAGTTGTGCACCACTTGAATGTATATATTTTTAGCAAGTGGTGGATAAAAATCAATGGTTTTTAATGGTTTTAATGGTTTTAATAAATAAATAAAATCGGATTTTTTTTTATTTAAATCGGATTTTTTTAATTTAAATTGGATTTTTAAAATAAAATGCTTTTGGAGGAAAAATCTTTCTAAAGATAGTTTTCTGTTTAAGTTACATTATAGTCCAAAGGCTATTCATCAGGAAATAAGGATTTGTTTTAAGTTTTTCATGTGTGCTAAATCTCAGTCTAACAAACATGGATACATATGCTATAATATTATTGTTTTAGTTAACTAAATGGTTTAAATAGTTATTAAGGAAATGATTATTTTTCTCCTTCCAATAAAGTACAGCAGAAAATTTGTCCAAATATAAATACTTAACTTATTAAACCTCACAATAATTTCATAATTATCTGTCTATGTATTTCTAATAGTATAACCAAATCAGTCATTTTTTATATAACTGTAAAAACTACTCTGAAAATTTATTATTCCAAAAATGAAACCTTCATCTGGTTGTAAATATTAAGATTATACCAGCAAGAATGAGTCTTTCTGTAAAAAAAATGATTTAAATCAAGTCTTACTGATTAGTGATTTAAATTGTGATTTAAATCGTGATTCAAATCGATTCGATTTAAATCAAATCCATCCTGGTCTACAGTGTTAATAAATAAATACAGCTCATACTACCCATCAGCCTCAGCCAGCATGACCAATGGGCACTAGATTTGGGAAGGCTGTTCAAAGAATACTGTATACTCTTCACACAGATACCGTACTATAGAACTGCGAAAGGAGTTCTGCAGCAGATCACTCTGGAACCAAGGAGGCAATTTTCAGAAATTCTTGTGCCTATTTACTCAGAATATTTTTACTCCGAAGTATGCTGAAGGCTGCAGTTCTGTACACTTACCTGGGAGTACGCCACATTGAACTCGTTCAAACTTACTTTTGATTAGATGTGTATAGGATTGTGCTTTTATGTTGGCTCCTAAGGAAACTCTTCCCAGATCTATGAGACTGGTGGACTTTTAACTTAGTTGCTGTATTTGTAAAGGGATGAGTGAAGAGGGGGAGGAGAAGCTTGATAAATAAAGCTACCCTCCCCCAGAAATCATTCTCTTACTTCTGAATGCAATTGCTTTTTCGGATGTTCTGTGCAGAAATATCAGGGGACTGTGCAGGCAGTATGACAATTCACCGTCATCCTGTTTCAGAATACAAAAGGGAACATCTGTCAGTAATGAAGCCCAAGGCTACATGTAGGTGGAGGAAAGAGGCTCCCAGCTTAGGTCATTCACTGTTAATGTCAGGATCATTTCCTCCTAAACCATTTTCTTCTAGGCAAAAAAACATCCCATGGGTCAGAATGTAAGCACTGTATAGCGCTCATGCAAAATCATGCCTTTGTGTAAACCAGACAGAGGTAATCCCACTTTCTTGTGTTTTCTGATTTCTGTGTCACGCTAGTGCAGAGGCCCAAGAACGTAATTCCTTCATGAGCAACCTCCTAGGGTCACATGCTGGTGGTAGGTGGTTCCACATGAAAAAAGCGGGTGGACCAACAGAAGTGGTCGTGAGGAAAGGGGTGTGACCTGCACAGAGTCTCGAAGGCTGGATAGAGTGGTCTGGGGGGTTGCATTAGGCCGCTGGTTCTTAGGTTCCTTATCCCTGTTCTAATGGAATGGAATGGAATGTCTGTGTGGGGAGGAAGAAGGCAAGATCCCCTACTTTTCTTTACAAGGAGCACAGTGTTTTGTGGAGTCTGTGTGAGGACATTCTGTCTACCAGAGTGAGAACAGTCACTTGGTGCAGATGAACATTTTACCACACCTTCTGCTGCTCACCTGTGTTTGACCCTTCAACAAGATGAGGTGAACCTTCCTTTCCCTTTATCCTGATGATACAGAAGATCATGTTATCCTGCGGTGAGAGAGCTCACCCAAAAGATAGTTGAGTGGCCTGGTTTGGATTTGGATTTGATATCCCGCCTTTCACTCCCCTTCAGGAGTCTCAAAGCGGCTAACAATCTCCTTTCCCTTCCTCCCCCACAACAAACACTCTGTGAGGTGAGTGGGGCTGAGAGACTTCAAAGAAGTGTGACTGGCCCAAGGTCACCCAGCAGCTGCATGTGGAGGAGTGGAGACGCGAACCCAGTTCCCCAGATTACGTGACTACCGCTCTTAACCACTACACCACACTGGATCTCATACACCACACTGGCTGTATTCCTGGTTCTGCTCCACTGTAAGGCAGAACAGGAGCATTTAAATAAGTTTGGTACACAATGGGTTTCCATGGTAAACAGGAAGTGTGAGTCACACAGAAATTTGGTAATTTCTGAATTGGGGGCCCATGTACCGCCCCCCGTTCAGTCTGACCTGTTTCTGAGAGTTTATTGAGAATCTGCTTTAAATTTTAAAATGGAAAAAAGGAGGACTTACATTTTGAAAGGGTGTAGTGATTTGAAGTAGGTATGTGCCTATTGATGACAGCTTTGATGGTTTCTTAATCACCCCCTTTCCTTTCTTTGTCCTCCCCAGGAGATGGATGTGGGCCTATGATAATCTATCAAGACAGTGGAACACTGGCGTCTAAGAACTATCCGGGGACCTACCCCAACTACACTACCTGTGAGAGGAGAATTCAGGTGCCTCAGGGGAAACGCCTGATCTTGAAAATTGGAGACTTGGATATTGAATCCCAGCAATGTGAATCTAACTATCTTAGCATCCACAGTTCTACAACAGTGCATGGTATGTAACGATGTACCAGTAAGACTGGATTCATTAAAATACTTAGAGCTCTAATTAACTCTTTGTTGAGCAAAGTAAGAAAGGCTACCCTGAAACCAGTGCTATTTAAGATTTGTTCTTGAGCATTGGGTGCTCAAGGCTGGAAGGGCACTTTCCCCGCTCAGCTAATGTGATTTGGTATGGTCATGCACAGGTGTTTAACCTGTAGACATCCAGATGATGTGGGATTCCAGGTCTAACCATTTGCCATGCTGGAATGGGCTGTTGGAATTTGGAAGGCTACAGGTTAACTAGTCCTGTTTTAAGGTAATGTTGTTCAAGGTAATGTTTAAGGTACAGTTGTTGTTATATTGTTAGAAACTAATTTACGGATTGCCTTTCACTTAAGTTGCAATGTGTTTTATAGTACTATAATAAAAACAACCAAAAATAGATTTAATAAGATTTATTCTTTATGGCATTACTTTGCCATATTCCTGTGTTTTGTACTTAATTATTTAGAAGCTGGTTACTTTTTCCATTATGTCTGTATTCTGTAGAGCAGGAGTGGGTGGAAAGGTAGATGAAGATCTACTGTTTGATCTCTGAGTGATTCATAGTAGATCAACATGTGTTTCTACTCCAAATTGTTTAACAATAACAACGACAAAATGACTCTTCCCTCCACCCTAAGTTATACGGGTGAAACGAAGAAGGCCAGAGGAGGGGAGCATATTTTTGTGTAGAACAACTGAGTTCAACCCTAGTACTCATAGTTCTCTAGTTCTTTGACTGGTGGATCTTGGAATTCTTTTAAAATGCAAGAGTAGATCCTGCAGGCATGATGTCTGCCCTCCCCTGCTGTAAAGCACCAAACAACATTTCCTGTTCCATCCCACTTGTTGTTTTCTCTCGAGAGTCTACACACCCACACACACTTTTTTTTAAGGCCTTGAGACTTTTTGCTGACCTGTCTCTCTCTCATGCATGCATCTAGACTTTTAGCATAGGTTCTCATCGTCATTTGGACAGGTATGCTGCTTTGAAAGCGCCAGACCAGTCAGCCATAGATTGAGTCAGCAGTCTTAATTACATCTGAGCAATAGACAGGTCATTGAGAAACGTAAGCAAGAGACAGCAGAAATATATTTGTGGGGAAATATGCGGAGGCAAATCTTGTGGGAAAATGTGGGAGTGGGTGGGAAGGTTAGGTGCAATGATCTCCAAATTATAAAACAGTATTCCCCCCCCCCCAGCTCGTGTGGCACATGGCATGACATATTTAAGAATTAACAGAAGTGATCTATCCTTGCTTGACTAACAAATAATTTTTCCTCCCTGTAGTTAAATTTGAAATCATTTGGTTAAGAAACCCTATGTGGGGAGATGGATCTGATGGTTGAGGGTCGGTAAGGGGTTTCTGCACACTCTCACTCATACCTCTCTATCTCCATCCAAGCAAGAAAAAGAAATTACCAGAATTCAGCGTGGTGCTCACATATTTAAATGATGGCAAGAGTCAATCTGTGTTGGCTTTGTCTGTTTCTCGGGGCCTCCATTGCCAAACTACTCACCAGGTGGCAAGGATGGTCTGGCTGTCATGCATCAGAGCTGGACTCAGCTGGACTTGTGCTGTTTTATTTTCCCTGCCATCTATGACAAATGGTAACTGATGGAATGTGTATAGCGTAGTGCGGTCAAGAGCTAAGCATCATTCTTCATTTAATGTTTCCTCTCTTTTGTAAAATTGTAATATAGCTTAAATTAAAAAATCAATATCAGCTTAAATTAAAATTTAAATTAAATTAAATTAAATTAAAAATATCAGCTTAAATCAGAAAATCAATTAATGAAATAATTTCAAATGTAATGCCTTTTTTGGCTGATTGGTTTTAGAAGTTAACTGTAAAGGTGCTTTATAGCTAATAATTCATGTGAAAAAGTAAGACTGGTTCCAGGTTGACTTCTAATAGATTGTTTCCCTAAATTTTGATGGGTAGATGGGAATCTTAAGAAAACAATATGATTTCTTTTTTAAAAATTGAGAATGAACAGTTAAGTATTCAAATATAGAATTCTTTTTATATGCCTTTATTACAATGTGCCATCTCAAGAAAAACGTGTTTGTTTTCCCCCTGTGTTGTGATTGCATTAAAAACTTGTACCTGGTGATGCTATCTTGCTGAGTCTATGCAATATTCAGTTGCCTTTGATTGTTGTACTCTTTCTGTAATGGATTGCTGCACTTTAAGAATGCTGTGCTTCAAAGGCTAGGGAGCCCCAGCCATCTACAAAGCTAAAACAATTTGAAATGTTAATGCCAGCTTTTATCTCCTACTGAACACAGAATTGCAAGAATTTGGTGGTCTGAGAAACTTCAAAGATCACAAACAAAAATCAATTAATTATGCACATGGATAGATGAATGCACCGTAGATGATGAATACATTTGTACGCTTTATTGTTTCTAGGCCACAAACACGATTTCAAATACTATTTGTTCTGCATTTAGGACCCTACTGTGGGAATGTGCCTGTCCCAGAAGAAATCATCTTAGATTCTAATGAAGCAACCATTCACTTTGAGAGCAGGTCCCATGTGTCTGGAAGAGGCTTCCTGTTGTCCTTTGCTAGTAGTGATCATCCAGGTAAAGTACAATTCTGCACATCATTGTGGACTAATGATTTTGGGTTGGTGCTACGCTCCATCCAGCCTCCGTCCCTCTCTCCCTGCCCCACTCTTCTGCCCTTTTCGGAGCAGATTTGTCAGGGATGAGTGCAATGATTCTCTCGCCCCATCATCTTACCTGGTTGCCTCTTTGCCTTGTCTGCTGTGGAAGTGGAAGGTAATACCCTGCCTGGTATTACCAGCAGATGTTTTAGAAAAGCACCTGGCCTAGATGAATGTGCTTAAGTTTTCTAAGTAGTTCAAACTGGTTTTATGGGTTTGGCCCCTTAGCCAACTGCTTGACCCGCTTATTTTCCCTCTAGAAATCAAGGTCTGGATGCTATTTCAATAATGTGCTAATTCATCTAATAGATGGCACTGATGAAATTTGGCTCTTTCATGCACCTGAACATCTAAGTGCATTGGCCGCCATATAGAACTGGGAATCCTAATTTTGATCCCATTGGCTCATTTCTCATTGGTTAGGCCTTATTATCCTTGGGCTTCTTCATCTTCTACAGGTATTTGAGCACTAGCTGATATAAACCAAGACTTTTCTTCAGACAAAGTTTTGATTCAGTTCCTTAAAGAGAACTCTTTTTTTTCATGGTAGTTGAGACGCATCGCTCAGGCTGAAATCTTTTTGCTTCAGGCCTCTTGCCTTGGAACAAAATCCTCACTGTACAAAAATATTCCAAAAATGTCTGTTGGAATTCTTTCTACCACCCTCACTTGGCCATTGCTTCAGGATGTAGTAGGATGTGACTGATCTCTCAATGAAGTTCTTGCTCTGAGGGTAGAGTCTAGAACAATTGCTCCTGTGCAGAAGAAAATGTGTATCCAGATGAACAAATTGGGCAGGTGGGGGGGGGGACACCAGGAGCAGAAGCTTGCTGGCAGAAGGAAACACTGAATAGGTGCTGTGGCTGCTGAGGGAGGTTTGAGAAAACAGTTCAGCTGGAATTGACTATCCACATCCAGTTCAGCTGGAATTGACTATCCACATCTTCTCTGTGTGATTCCCAAATAGCCTTTTTTTTAACCTTTCGCAGATCTAATCACATGTCTGGAGAGAGCAAACCACCACGTGGAGAATGAATTCAGGTAAATATAGGTTTTGGTGGCAATACACTCTGGTTGCCATGTTGCATCTTGCAATTAACATACTTACAGCTGTAGCCGGATACAGTCCATGACCGTTTGTGCTGCGTTTGGAACCCTGTTGCCAACCACAGGAATGTGTTTTTCTGAAGATACTCGGAGGTATCTAAATCTGTGATTATCTTCTTACATGGGAGAGGCAGTGAAGTCTTCCTTGGAGAGAGACTTTGCATTCCAGAGTAATTAAGGAATGCAGCTTCAGACCACTGAACAGCCGTTATCTGTAGCATAACCAGTAATGCCAAGGGAAATTAGGGCAGTGCTTTGGGTACTGAATACTCCTGTGTTGGGGGTGGTTGGGTTTTAAAGCTCTAAGCATCTTGCAGGATCAGGCTGGAGGATTGAAAGCTGATCCATGTCAGTTTAAATTGTTTCTCGGTTCTCTTGAATAAATACCCTTTGCAGTAAGTTTAAAGAGTAATGGCATGTAAGCCAGTTGCTCAAGGTGTGAACAGATGTAGTTGTGCTGTGTTATCTTTCCTTCAATTACTATTGTTCCCTGAACATGTAAAATGCTAGAAGGAACTAAGCAGAACAAAATTCATTTCCATTGCTGCTTATGTGGCTACCTGTGCCATTTGGAGCACACGAATATGCTAGAAATTAGAAGAAGAAAAACCTTTATCTTTACACTGTTTGCTTTACAAAGTGCATGTGTGCGAGCATTGTACATTACACCAGTCACAACAAGATCCTGTCTTTTCTCCATGGCAGCAGGTACTGTCCAGCTGGTTGCAGAGACATAGCAGGTGATATTTCTGGGAATATAGTGGAAGGCTACAGAGACGTAAGTACATGGGATAAAGGAAAGGTCTAGCGCAGCCTTCCCAAACCTCCTGCCCTCCAGATGTTTTGAACTGTAACTCCCATCAACCCTGACTATTGGTCTGTCTACCTGAGGCCGATGAGAGTTCTTGTCCAAAACATTTGGTGGGCACCAGGCTAGCAAACACGGTCTACAGAAAGCTAGAGATATGACAGCATTGCTTTCTGAAGAATTTTTTATTGCAGATAAGCACAACCTAAAAGTTTAATGCTGGGCTCAAAGACCAGTAGAACAACCAGTTGTGCACAGTGAAGGTTAGTGCATTTTGCTGAAGACAGGAACTGGGAGAAATGGTAAATTATTCTTAGGTTACCTCAGTTCGTTGAAGATGTTGGCTAGAAAATCATTTATTCTACCACTGTGCGATCATAATTACAAAGTATGGAATCGGAAAAGAATTGTGCATAAAAGTATTATGGTGGTCAGCTGTTCTGTTAGTGCTAACAGTGTTACAGATTACATGTGCATATGCATTTCATACGTGCACATTTCATGTGGGCTTGTAAACTCAGCCATTTATTTTTGTTCAGGTCACAGTATAATAGGTATAGTTCTTCAGGTACAACTTCTTATCGTTCAGTTTGCAAAATGGGCGTAACTGATCTGCTTTTTAATAGCAATAACCAAATTTAGGAACATTTTCCTCAGCCTTGCCCTGCATATAGTATGATATCTTCAGCACGTTGTTTTATTCGTCTGCACATATGATATGGAAATGACACTCAGTTAATTATTCTCTGAGGAAGGATGTGTGTGGGAGGATTACTACACTGTAAAATATTAACCTTAGAATATATTTGTCCAACAAGTAGATTTCTCTTAAGTCTCTTCAGCATGTTTTCACATTTAATTTAGGTAATTCAGCATACAGAAAATTGCTACTTCCTTTTGCATTTTTGACTTGAATTTTTTTAGGGCACCGCGTTTATTCGTTTTGTTTTATTGTGCTGACCGTGAGTTTGTTTGAATACTAAAATCTTGCCTTACTTTTCACTTGATTTCTGCACCTCAGACTTCCTTATTGTGCAAATCTGCCATACACGCTGGAGTAATTGCAGACGAACTGGGTGGTCAGATTAGTGTGATTAAACTGAAAGGAACAAGCCAGTATCAAGGAATCCTAGCCAATGGCATCCTTTCTCAGGAGTAAGTATTGGTTGTGTTCATGCATAATGTGTGTACTAGTCAGCCATGATAAACACAAGCCTTTTTCTTGCACACAGAGCCCCTTCACTCCTTCCTTTGTGTGAGTTGGAAACTCTTGTTAACCATTGTTTTGTTCGAACTATGTACTGAAATGGCCACGTTTGGAGCATCATATTTTCACTTAATCAGCCAAGATGTGAACAGGCAATGTGCATACAGCTGCTTTCATCCTCCCTTCACATGAGTAGGCAAACAGACCAGGAACTCTTCCATTATCCATAATTTCCCTTTGGATCGAATTAGAAAAACAATGGGTGGTATCCAGTTTAAGTGATCCATCAGCACAATGATACTTGCACGATCCATCCACTTACACGCTGATACTTCATTCCGCCTTCTCTCTTTGTGTACCCCATAAATCTGTTCTAGGGGCTACCCCAACCCTCCAGAGCAGATTCGGGGAAGATGTGGGCGAGGGGAGGGAGGAGAGGTGGGGGAGCTCAATTGCACAATTGATTTCATTTTAGGTACTGTTAATAGTGACAGGCACTATCTATTCTCTTTGGGTGTTTTGAGTTAATAAACTGAGAGCTGTTTAGATTTAAAGTGCACTGAGTTATGCAGGCTCATGATAAAATTGCAACTGTATCCTTGGTCCCCCCCCCCTTGATATTCATATGGCACCCAGAGTTCACATATTGTACTAAAAAGCTCCAAAAACATGTAAGTTGCATGTCCCCTTCCCACAGAAAATTATGGGACACATTCAAGCCAGAGTTCAATGTATTGAAGCCTCGTTGATTTCAAGTGGGGAGTTAAGCACAAGTCAACTGCTTCTTGTTATACTGTACTTACATCCTGCTCTGTTTTGAGAAACCCCAGAGCACCTTAGATGGGGCTCCCTAATGGTCTGGTCATTGTTCGCCAGAGTTAGATGATCCACGACCAATCCCTGAACTGTATAGTACTTTAAAGTATTTATTTTGGTGCATCAAGTTGTAGGATCAAAAGGCAGGGTAAGAATAAAGCAGAACTATTTCAGCTTAAAATTTCTTGTACATGAGTAGCTAATCAAAATGATAATGTCATCTCTTTTTCTTACAGTGGCTCTCTGTCAGATAAGCGGATTATTTTTAACTCGAATGGTAAGGCTATTTTTTTTTCATTTTAGACATTATTAATGCATAATCCAGGAAAAGCCAAAGCACTCTCCAATTAAAATAAATACAATTTGGGGCCGAATACAATGAACTACTTTATTTTGTTTGCTTGTTAATGAAGAATGTATATACCACTTACTTTACAGGAGATCTCCGAGTAGTTTACAAAGAACCTATCTAAAATATTCATTTAAAGATAATAATGATAAAAGCAAATATTAAAATCAAGTTATTATAACATAGATCAAATTCTTTTGTTTACTGGAGTTAGGCTAGGGCTCATGGGTGGGTAGAGAAAGAAAGCATTTTCAGAAACTCTTAATGATATTTGGGGGGAAATTTATCAAGTCTTCTAGGTTGATGATTATAGTCATAGTTAATACCATTATCTGAAAATACACTTTCCTCCCTTTTTTCACTTTGGAAGGTTGCAATCAATCACTGAACCTAGAAGGACGAAATGCATCCGATGGTCAGATCACGGCGTCATCATTCTGGGATGAAACCAATGACATTGGGGAGGTGGTTCCGTGGTCTCCTGTTAGGGCCTGGCTCAAAGTCCAAGGGCCTTCCTGGGCAGCAAACCAGAGCAACTCTCGGCAGTGGCTAGAAATTGACCTGGGAGAAAGGAGAAGAATAACAGGTCAGTTGTCTGTCATAGCAAGAGTACGTCTCTTAAGTTAGATTTAAGTTTAGTGTCATTCAGTTATCGGTTGTGACCCTATGCAGCTTGCTTACTGTTCTTGTAAGCTAGATTTCCTCAGGTTTTAAGTGAGGTTTCAAATGGTACTCCGAGCAAGGGCTATTTACAAATGTCTCGTAACACTGCAACAATTACTTTCTGCCAAAAAACAACAACAACTAAGGGTTGTATCCAATGTTAATCCTACTTGGAGTAGACCTGTTGAAATTAATGGACATTGCTTACTTAGGACCATGAATTGCAATGAGTCTACTCTGAGTAAAATGTAGGTACTTATAACATTGAGTTGTTAAAACTAGCAAAGACCAATTGAAATACACCCCACCCCCCAAAAGGCCTTTAGGCCAAATTTTACTGCCCACACAGCTGCAGTTCAGGAGCAATATGCCTTTCCAGTAACCAAATGGGAAATATTTTATGGTTCGATAAATTGCAGAAGGCCCAATGGGGCTGAGGTCCTCTTCTTATCAACAGCTAATAAGCCTTTATCATTGAAATGCAGAAAGGAATTCCTCATACTTGCATCTTCTATCGTCTTTTTGGAATCTTGTCGTTGGTTATAATTGTGTTCTTCTAAAGCTTTTAGACAAACAAAACTAAATATATATGAATTATTCTGGGTTGTTAATGAGGCTCCATTCTTTTCATATATCCCTCAATTTGATCTTATCAGGAGCACCTTAGATGTTTTCCCTTACGCCTGCCATACTATGCTGAAAGTCTAGGACTTGCTGTTCTTGTAAATAATAGCTTAAGGCTGGGGGCAGGGGAGTAGGGCACCAATTGCTGCACCCAGATAACAGGTTGCACAACACTGGCTGAGAATTTATTTGCAGGGCCCTGATAAAGGACACTTAGTCCCATCCTGAGAATGGTTCTTTTGCCACTATTCACACAAAGAGCCATGCTTACACAAATGCAACCACATCTGCCCATGCCCTGCCTTACACACTCTCACATGTGCCCCACCACCTCCCATTGTTCCACATCTCACATCTTCTGCCAATACCCAACAACTAGGGACAACATTCACTGTTACCATGATTGATGATGAGAGTGTAGTTCTATTCTGGATTTGATCAAACTATGCATTGTGTTTTTAATACATAAGCTTCAGGCTGAAGCTGTGCATGTGCTCTTTTCTTTTGTGCATAGGGGGTGACGTGGATTAGGATTAGGTTTAATCCTTTCCTCCCCAACTGTGATGCTCCCCAAGACTCCCTCCTCCTTTCTCAAACACACCTCCTAATAACACCAATAGGGATTTTAAAGTTTCTTTTTTATTATCAGTAGCTGCTGAAAGAGGTATGAACCTTTTGGGGAGAGGGTGGCATGACTCTTTGTGCACTGCAGTCCTGTTTTGGATTGGGTTCCCTTTGCTTGCTTTTGAGTAAGAAAAACCACACACACAATTGCAGGATAAATCTTAAATGTAATTATAATTGGTACCCCAATTTCAGATGAGCCACTGCACACTTGGATATGGGGACCCTTTCCACATTACAGAAACACCTGTGTAATTAGCTGGAGGCCTGGTTTTTTATTATTATTATTATTATTATTATTTGCTGAGATCCCACTCAGCAGCTTACCTGAATCTGATTCACCCGTCACATGGTAGCTATTCAGTGGTCAAAGGGGGGTGGGATGTGGCCTCACTTCCACTCCAGCAGACCTATAACCATCCCACTTCTTCTATGGACATAACTGAGGCTGACCTAACCACCCCGTTTCCGTTTTGTCCCATTTTTGCAACTGTTTCTTGAGTCCATGTTGCTGGCATGCTTTTGCAGTTTTGCTGGACAAATTGCCAATGCCAAAGGAGGGGAGAGCATGTCTGTTCAAATATTAATTAGCTTTCATTATCGGTTTTGTAGATTGTGGTGTGCTCACTAGAGACACTTGCCTGTAAAAACGATTCTTGCGATCCAGAGCCTGCGCAAGTGTGGTGTTCCAGATGAGCTTCACAAGTGCAGGAGAGCCTTTCCCCTATCACTATTGACAGTGGGAGAGCCCTAGCATGTACATCTGAGGATGCCTTTACAAATAACATAGTAGAAAGCGAAAGGTTTTCAGATGGCGACATTTCTTAATTTTGCTGCAGATATAAATGAGTGGTTGTTGTTTGAAGGAAATGTATGCTTCTTTTACTATTATTAACCAACAGACCAAAACAGATCCCTTTTGTTTACTTTTTCTTTCATTACAAGGAATTAGAACCACAGGGTCCACAATGCTCAATTTTAACTATTACGTTAAGACGTTTATTGTCAACTATAAAAATAACAACTCAAAATGGAGGACTTACAAAGGAATCCTAAGCAATCAAGAAAAGGTAACTGGGGAAGCGGGGAGATACAGGGCAAGGGGGAAATGGTGGTTGCCGGGCGGGGGGGTGTTCTCCTGCAGCCCAACTTCCATCTTTCATCCTTTGCAGACAGCTGGAGCTACTGGATTGTTATACTCAAATCTTGTTTACTCCAATGGGTTTTCAGCACCCTCATTGCACACGTTGTGCTGTCTAGGTTTAGTTGTGACTTGGGTAATTTGCCCTGTCCCTTACTTTCAGAAGGCTCCAGTCTAGTTTCGCCATGGAGAAATGATTTCATTTGAAAACATTTGTAAGGAAGCTGGAGATTCCTCTTCACTAGAGGAAGCTGGATGAGCAGTTTGGCAGGAAAAAATATTATTTGGGCTATGAGAAGAAGCAGGACAGTGCACTAAAGTGCCCTCTTTGCCATTTTCTTTCTTTATAGGTACAGTAAAATATGCTTTTGCATATACATACATCCACCCACCCCACGGACAGAGCCTTCTTCCTTCTTCACATTTCACTGTGGGGGAAGCAGATCGGATTGTTTTCAGGGAGACCTATATGTGATGCAGCAGCTACTTGCCCCTCAAATCTTAGACTGTTATTTGCCCTCCTGTAGCTAACAATCTGTATTTTTAAAATCTTCACTCACAACCTACGGTGTGGGGGCGGGGAAGAGCTGCTTGTATTGTGAGCTGATTTTGCATATACTTTAACATTATTTGAGAAGTATTTTCTGTGAAACTACTGCTTGTGGTGGAGCAGCTTTTTTCAATCTATGTTTATAACTTTTAAGTGTTAGAAATCTTCCATTTTATTTCCCCTTCTCCCCTTGTCTTGAAAGCAGGACTTTTCTGGTTTCTAGCACAAGGTTGTAATTGCACAAGGATCTGATAAGGTGTGGCAGGGATATATGCAGAATATTAAGGCTGCAATCCTGAGCACACCTGACAATAAACTAAGGGCCATTGAAAGCAGTGGGAATTACTTCCAAGGTTTGCTCTGTGATGGTGTGCAGCACATCTGCCCCCACAAAGAATCCCGGGAACTGTAGTTTAAGGGTGCTGGGAATTGTAGCTCTGTCAAGGTTAAACTACAGTTCCCATGATTCTTTACAGGGGAGATGCACTTTAAATGTGGGATGTGTTTTCAAGTGCACATCTACATTCCCATGAATCAGTCTAGAAGAGGCATGGACTCCTGCTCATTTGACCTACAATAGGAATTGGAGAAGCTCAGCCTTTATCAGTAGGAGATAAAGCAAACACTCTGCAAGCAAACTCTCTGATAAAGTCTCAGAGTTTGCTTGCAGCTTAGTGAGAGAAACTTACTTTTTTGCCCCTAAATGCAAAGGGCAAGTTAGAGATCAAATCTGGAGAAGTTATTATCTCCCAGCATCATATACTCGTTTTGGATTTTTTTTTATTACTGAGTTAGCTGCATTGCACAACATGGGAATCTGCTGCAAAGATACTTCAAAAGCGCTGTATTCCACATAGTTGGAAAAAAGTATGGGCTATCAACATATGATTGTAATTAATATTAGGCCTTCTGTGAAACCTTATACAAAGAATTATAAAAAGAGAGGGTTTTTTAATGGTATTAATTTAAAAGAAGTAGTATGTTTATCTTGCTTTCCACTGGCAGTGCTGATAAGTACTGTCCTGTCGGAAGAAAATCTCAAGAACACTTTGAGAAAAATAAAACAGCCATCTCCCCATCACTCCGGCTTCTTTGGCAATTTCTCCTTCCCTTGCAGATCCCCGTGTGTCTCCACCCCCACACAGTTCCAAAACTTCCTCCAACTCCCAGAAGTTGATCTTAGGGGAATGGAGAGACTGCAGGGGTGAGGAGGCATTTGCCAAAGATCATCTTGATCCCTGTTCTGCCGACAGAAGGCTCTGCTGGATCAAAGTTTCTGTCCATGGGGGATTACCAGCTGGATACCATTCTTTGGTGGTGGTTACTTTTTAAATCTAAAATGAGAAATGTGCTGCTCTTCCAATCCTAGAACACTGAAGTTTCCAATACTTAATTCCCTTTACTAGCAAAGTGGATGGGCCCATGCCAACCAGCAGGGCTGTGAAGCAGGATCACCCACAACAGACAGGTCATGGAGTACCTGCACACATGGAGGGGCAGTGTGCAGGGGAGAAGGGTATTATTTTGCACACGCCCATTCCACTGTTCGTGAAGTGGGAGGAGGACTTGTTGCAGGAAAACAGTTTTAGAAACAGTAAAAGAGTGGCATTGATTAATGCTGTGTTGAGGAGAGGAAACAGGCACCAGTAATGGGGGGGGGGGAGAATTGTGCTAGAATTCTACAGGGCTAAAGCCTTCCCTTCAGTTGTTAGGCTGAGACTGGCTCTACCGGTTGAATTAAAGTGGTATAGTGCTGACTCTACAGCTTGCTGTGCATCCGGCCTCAAACTCTGCCACAATCTGAAGGAGGAGCAAGAGTTAACTACTCCTTGCTGGCCTTGGACTGTTTGGAGTTGAGCCTGGTTGCGCAACTAGCTGCTCAGCTGGTCACAAACCCTCTTTTTACTGCTGTACTGCTCCAGTTTAGGACTGCCTACATATTGGAGGAAGAGCTTTAAACTCTGGAGGGTTGAGGTCTTTCCTCGCCATCCCCCAGTGAATCAACACAGGCTGCTGTTGATTTTTATCCTCTGTGATTTCAAGGGGAGAAGTTGTTATTCATTGGCTTTAAACCAAATAATGTGGTTCATTTTCCTTTCAAACGGCAGGTATTCAAAGCCAACTCTAATCATGGAGATATAGTCCGGAATAATTTCATTCCCCCCATAGTAGCCCGCTACGTGAGAATTATTCCACAGAGCTGGAACAAAAGAATAGCACTGAAGGTGGAACTTATTGGTTGTCGCATAAACCAAGGTAAGCCGTTTTACCATTCGGGGGGCGAGGAGAGGTTTGATTGGCAGCAGGATCTGAATGCCCTTCAAATGTTTTGAGGTTCACTTAGTTCCACCTTTTGCCTTGCAGTTAACAGCTCCCTTACGCATCCGCTCTGGCAGAGACCAAGTCAAAGCACAGGTGTCTCGGTTAGAAAAGAAGACAGAACCATCACAGAGCCCATACCCTCAGAAGAAGGCAGCTTAGGTAAGAAACACCTTTCCTAACCTTAATGGAGGGCGAAAGTCTTAGCACAACTCCTACCACAGACTGTGACAACTTTTCAGAAGTGATAATGTAAACCTATTTCTAAACCACCTTTTTGAACCCCAATTTTCAAATGCCTGGGAACAAAATGTGATTCATTGGGGGTGAGGTTGGCAGGGCACATTCATGTCTTTGCTACATGGTTTTTACTTTATGAGGGCCAAATGACCAGAAACAGTGACTTGTGTTCTGGATATATACAAGGCTTGATTGTATAACTTGAGAGGTATCCAATGCTTAATACCGATCTAAAGTGGGTGCAGGTCTGAGCACACGGAGTGGTATTCAACACAGAAGAACACATAATCAAATCATAAGTTAAGCCTGGATATGGGCAAGCCTGCTGCACCCAGATGCAACCACATTCCTCTTGCTGCCCTCTTTCCCTTGTGCAAATGGGGAAAGAAACCAAGAAGAACGCCTCAGTTAACCATGGCTTCCTACTACATGCTAGCTAGAAACTGTGGTTAATGACTTTCAAAACTTGGCTTGTTTGGAATCCATTGTGCATAATTCCTGGCTTGTACGTAACAAGAAGCCATGGTTAACAGCAGCTCCCCCCCCCCCCCCCGAGATCATGTGAAGGGAGGAGTGAAATGGGAGCAAAGGGTGCAAGGAGGTCATGCATATCCTTGCTTGTTAAGCCAGGATTCAATAATGTGAATTAAGTCCCACTGTTTCCTGGGTTCTGCATACTCCCCGCTATATACCAGTACTGTGCGATATGTAGTCCAGCCCTCAAGTTAGTTTTTCAGCTGGGTTTTCAGTATATTGTAACTTTTCATCTTCATTTCTTTTTAAGGACTGAATCTTACTACCATAATCGTTCCAGTAGTAGTGGGGCTTTTGCTGTTCCTGATATCTGGAATTGGTATCTATGCTGTTGTACGAAAGTATGTAACTCTCACTTCAGAGTTGAAAAGCATAAAAATTCTTGTGGTGGTTTTTGGACACATAACAGCCTTTTCCTTAGCTGGCAGATCTACCACCTAACAGGAATACACCTGATGATTGCCTTCAGAGGTTTTACAGCAGAAGAGGAAAAATGCTATGACCAAAACCTATAACTGTATTTGCATTATGAATATGAAGTCTCGAGCTTAATCACCAGCATTTCAAATTCTGTCGCCTGGGCTTCCTCAAGTCCCCTCACCAGCTCCTCATTGTGCTCTTGCTCGTCCAATGAGTTCCTTCTCCCAGCTGATGTCCCCATGAATTGCAGGGAATGGGAAAGGGTGGCTCTCTTCACAGAAGAAGTCTTCCAGCCTTTTATAGACAAGTGAGCTAAAATAGGAAGTTCCATCAAAAACAGCAGAAAGATTTCCACAATGATTCATTCCTCACCTGAGGGCTTTTCTGATCGGGAAAGAGATGACCTATGCAAAAGGCTCATGGGCAGTGCACTTTCTTCCTCTCTCTTTCTCTCTGTCACTCTTTTGAGTAACCAGTTGCAAAGTCCATTCCCACCATTTTATAAATATAAAACAAGGAAGAACTACACGACTGCCTTGGAATCTGGCGAGAGCCAGTGTGGTGTAGTGGTTAAGAGCGGTAGTCTCGTAATCTGGGGAACCGGGTTCGCGTCTCCGCTCCTCCACATGCAGCTGCTGGGTGACCTTGGGCCAGTCACACTTCTTTGAAGTCTCTCAGCCCCACTCACCTCACAGAGTGTTTGTTGTGGGGGAGGAAGGGAAAGGAGAATGTTAGCTGCTTTGAGACCCCTTAAAAGTGAAAGGCAGGACTGACTGAAGCCAAGTGCTATTGTTGCTGTTCTTCATTATAGGAGAGGAAAGAAAGGAGGTGCTTATGGCTCATACGACACCGGAAAACCAGGTGGGTAGTAAAAATTGTGGTTTTGTTCATCATCTGACAATAATGAGAAAGGGAAATGTTTATGCAGTTGTAACAATATCTTTGTGTGCAGTTCCCCTTAAAGATCTAACACACAAATAGCACAAGAACTTTTAATATATGTAATGGATGGGTGGAACTGGAGCAGTCATTGACAGCAGCCAGCGACAGTTTCCTGTGCTTAGTACTTCCTGATCCTTGGAATCGCTGTGGCTTAATCTGGATGGCTTGGATCACGCATCCATTATCCATGTCAATCTCTACCAGGGGATAATTTAATAGGAAAAGGGTTTTGTGGAGCCATTTTCATTAAAAGTTTTGGATCAGTGTTTTTTGATATCACACTCTTGTTCCCTTCTCCCTTGCGGGCCTGCTTCCATGAGATGCTCAGCAAGTCCAAATTTAGCTTTGCTTTGAAATTCAACAGTGCACTGCTGTTGAGATGGGTTGTTGGGGAGGGAGATCCAAAAATGATCAGCAAAGCAGCTGATTTAAAATTAAGTGTGTTCATGACTCCAAGAGAACATCCAGATGATAAATTGGTGGGATCCGAGAGTCCCTTATGTGACCATACTAGATGAGCTTCTGCTGATTTTTTCACACACACATGCATGCACGGACACACACACACACACACACTGCATCTCTCACCCCCAATATCTTCCTTCATTCCAACTCTCAAGGGTGACTTGTGAGGAACACAAGCAACTGCAGAATGGAAGGGAAGATAGTTGTCAGGATTTAGCCCTATGTGGTCTGTATAGATAGACTGATCTCTGCTAATGCAAGCTTGTTTTAACCCTAAGTATTACATGTCACCCTTTCCAACACACACTCTGAATCAAACTGACAGTTTTAATTTTTTTGTGCATGCAATGTTTTATATTGGATCACATTTGAGATTTTTAACATTATTAGGACTTGAACTTCTAGGTTTCTGGAAACAAATCAAACAACCCTTTGTCAGACACCAGTCTACTGAATTCACCATCAGTTATAATAATGAAAAGGATACGCCACAAAAGCTAGATCTCGTCACAAGAGAGATGGCAGGTAACTTCACTGTCTTCTGAAAACAATCCCTATGTAGCACGTAAGAAACGTAAAGAACAGGCTTAGTTTGCCCATCCGTAAGGATTGGCAGAATAGAACTTGTACCATTTTTAAATTTATTTATCATATTTCTATTGTTGCCCTGCCAGTTAGAACTTGTACCATTTTAAAATTTATTTATCATATTTCTATTATTGCCCTGCCAGTGTGTTCACATAAAACTGTTGGCATTCTTCTACCGGATACCTGTAGAGTAATGGCTTTGGCATTCCAACATTCTTCCTCATCAGGTGACCCATGTGCGATATCAAAGACATTAAGAAGAGATTTCTCAGTCAGGCCCTCTAGCCCAGCATCCCATTCTCACAGTGGCCAATCAGATGCCTTTGCAAAGCCTGCAAGCTGGACATGAGGACTTTGCCTGACTATCTATTATTCCTAGCAATGGTTATTCAGAGGCATACTGCCTCTAACAGTGGGGGCAGAACATAGCTATCATGACTAGTAGCTTTTCGGAGTTTAACGGTAATTTGTCGTACCATCCTTTTAGATAGGATGGTGAATAAATTTGACAATTGTGTGCATGTTTTCTTGCTTAGTAACTCTAACATTATAGTGCACATTTTTTTCTTTCTATTGCACATGGCTCATGTAGCTTGTATAATCAATAGCTATTGCTCTACTAAAGATCTAATGTAGGAATCTGTTTTTGACCTTTGATAGACTGAAGGCTGTGTTTGTCAGTAGAGCGAGAAGGATGGTTTGATCTTGTGGTGAGAAGGCAGGGGGAAAACAAATGGTCTCTAATAAAATTTGTGCACGGAGGCAGGAGTACGCCAAGGAAAATCTTACGATCCTTATGAATATTTATTGCTCGTCGCCATAGGCAGTTGCAAACAATGAATTAAAAATGCCCGTTGACACAAACATAAAACATGATCCAGTATGCTTCCTATTTGTTTCTTGTCTTGAAGTTAAAATACATCTTTGAAGCATCCTGGAAATGTGCTTAATTTTAGCTTATTCAAGTTAATTAATTGCCTTGACAGTCCACCGACATTTGATTCAAAGTACTTGCTTGAATTTTCTTTGCTGCAGTTGAGAAATAATGTAACTTGGTCAGATGACTCAGGGATAACAGAAAAAATAGCTATCTCCTGTAGGCACAATAACAATTACTTTCTGGGAGAAGGCAAATAATATAGCAGATTGCTCAGCACAAATTAAGGTGGCATCCAGTATTTGGTGTGATCTGAGATTCTGATGTGATTCTTTCTGTTTCCCATCTAGATTATCAACAGCCTCTCATGATAGGAACTGGGACAGTAACCCGAAAGGGATCCACTTTCAGACCCATGGACACAGAGAATGAGAAAAAAGGTAGCGCCGAGACCGGGAACCATTACCACTGCCCACAGAGAGCAAATCGGCACGATTATGCACTGCCTTTGACCAACCATGAGCCTGAATACGCCACTCCTATTATAGAGCGACACGTAGGAAGAGAAAACACTTTTCCTTCAGAGAGCTGCTATAACATTCCTACTGCTTCTGCCGCGCATAAATGTTCCCTTTCCACAGGCACTTTCACTGCCTTGTGCCAGACTGAAACAGGGAGTGAAGATTATCAAACACCGCAAAGTCAGAAGGAGTATGACAAGCCAAAAATGAAAGCCTTGCCCACACTTGACTACAATACTGGCTATCAGAAGCCCCAAACCAGTTTATTGACAGATGAGGGCTATTCAACACCCAGATACTGCCTAAAACCAGTAAATCAGACTGCAATGACAGCTCTTCTGTAACCTTAAGGACCAGCGGAAACGCACTGCCAAAATGTTTAAAGCACTGGATTAGATTTAGAGCAAAACAAAATTTGCTCTTGGCTGAGGAGTGAAAGCTGTTCGTTGCTGCCTTTGCGGTAGAGTCTTCAGGCAGTTGATTCTCTGCAGCTGCGATATTAGTGCTCCACTCTAACATTGTGCAATGTGTACATACATTTTTAATTTAATAAAAATAACTTAAACTTTAGTCTGTTTTGTCCTGTGTGGGCTGGGGGCTGTCAGTGAGAAGAACTGGTCACTGCACTGATTTCTAGACAAGGTAGGACAGCGTCTGGGGTTGTTTTCCTGTTGGTAGTTGTGCTAACTAGTTCTGACATGTTACACAGAAGTGGGAGCTAATTAAATTTAAAAGCTAATTTCCTCGGGTCATATCCTATCCTGCAGAATCCCCTGCTTTGAACAGTTTTAACTGTGTGGATAAATCTGTACTTGTTCTGGGCAAAATAAGTTTTGAAAAAATGAGGGATGGTGCGTGGTATTGTGATGAGAAGTGATGCTAGTCAATTGCCACTGAGAAATAGCGGGCTCTTCTGTTTCATGGATTTAACTGTGCCTGTAAATGGTCCATTCTTTAGCCCCAGATTAGGACAAGGGAAAATACCAAGACTAGAACACAGAGCTGAGTCTCTGCCATGGCCCTAAATATGCACCCCTTCTCCACCATAAATTGCTAATACAAAAACAGCATAGTTGAGATCAGGCAGCCAGTAGGTTTCTAGAAGTAATTTTTCAAACACACCTCTAGTTTCATAATAGCATCTTCTGAAGAATTTCTAGGCTATCAGTACATATACTGCCCACTCTGCAGTAAGCCCCACCAAATACTGTGGATATTATAGTAGCACAACCCAAGCCTAGCAGTAGTAGTTTGCTTTGGGTCTGCCATCTCATTAAAAATGGGCTCTGCAAGTTACATTCGGAAATATTTTTTGCTAGTTTACTCGCAGATGCTTAGATATTTCGAATGCGTTGTTCACAGGCTCCTTGTGGCAGCTTTGTGTTAAAAATGTTTTTTTGTGACTTTGTCTTAAGGGTTTCTTTTTAAAAAGGGGGGCAGGAAAGATGAACTGGAATAGCTGTAAGAATCTCTGCTTGTTATACTGACTTCCCCATCTGATTCTCAGGACTTTCCCCAGGCTACCACCTACTCCCCAAGCCACCTACCTTGCTCTGTGCATTTTTCCCATGCTTTCGCCTGCCTGGAATGAGTCCTTCAGCTCTGATGATGCTTCATTCTTGCTTAGATGGGGGATGGAGACATGTGTGTAGCCAACTGGACAAAATTAAGAGTTCCATCTGCTGCCTCTCCCCCTTTTCCCTCTGGCCCTGCCCACTACTGGTATGCGACCCATGGGAGGTTGCTTAGGACAGCAGGTAGCCCTCAGGTTCCCCCATCCCTGACCTGACCCTCCTGTCTTTCCTAGCTCTGTTGTCCAAGATTCTCTAGGGACCAGTTCATGCGTATCTTTCCTACAGAGATGCACCCTGCCAAGTGTACAGCTGATTTGCATAATCTTCACACATTAGGGTATTCCTAACAAAACAAAAAAATCCTTCCAGTAGCACCTTAGAGACCAACTAAGTTTGTTATTAGTATGAGCTTTCATGTACATGCACGCTTGCTCACGAAAGCTCATACCAATAACCGACTTAGTTGGTCTCTAAGGTGATACTGGAAGGAATTTTTTTCATATTGTCTCAACTACTGCAGACCAACACGGCTACCTACCTGTAACTAGAACTATGGTATTCCTATCCCTCTTGGATATTTTTCTTCCCCTACAGCAGTACACTTCTCGGCTAGGAGAAATGATCTGCTAGGGTGAAGCAGCCCCCTAACTGGATAGGTCAAGGATTGAATCTAGAACCTTGTACATGGAAAGCATTTGCTTTTTCATATACATTGTGGCCCCTGACTTCCTTCCTGTGCAGTCTAGGAACCGTTTGTTTTCTGGGAGCCAGGCTTTCAAATAAAACGTAATGCCAAGGCTTTCAGCTCTCTTGATAAGACGACTCCTTCTACTGAATGCAAATCCTGGTATTGCAATAGCAGGGTGTCTGGTACAGCTGGCCTTGGCAGTGTCCTAGTCAAAGCAAAGCCAGGGAAGAATATAAGAGAAGACTGCAGCCAAAACACCTTGGCTGAGAGCAGGCATTATAGGTTGTGGTGAGACTCCTAACCATGTGCGGAGTTATTCGTATTAGTATCCGTATATATTTATTTATCCATCCCCTGCGTTCTTCCCTGACAGAGACTCAGGAATATTATCATTATCAAAACCCAGGAGTTTGTAAAAAGCTTTGATTTTAAACACCACCACCAAATGCTTCTAAGTATTTCTAAATCTTCACTTTTTAATGCATTGCTCCATTGTTTTGCAAATAGGGAACGACAGTACGGTAGTTTCCTTTCCTCTTAAATGAATTCTGTATGTCTCTGGTTTCCACCAGAAGGCTCAGGCCACACAAAAGTTATTTGAAGGACATCTAGAAGACTGGACTACACCTCACAAATACGTAACAATTATTATTTAGAATCATCCAGATTTGCTCATCCTCGTTTTTGATTTTTAATTAATCTACCACTATGTCTGTAAAGTGTTTAAGAGGAGCTTACAATATTATCTGGTCTTAAAGTGTGTTGGTGTTTGACTCACACTTGAGAGTTCATGTAGCAACGAGGCATTTGTGAGTATAATAGCACACATAGCTTTCCCCTCAGTCTTGGGGTGGAATCTGATCCAGGGCAGTAATGACCAAACATAATTAGCTGCAGAGAGTTTGTTTATTGATCTAAATGTAATGACCTGATGTTCACATTCCAGTTTTTATGGACAGGTCTCGGCGAAATGCAGCTGTACTCTGAAAAGGAACCTATAAAGGGCAGTGCTACACTTTACCATAGCTTCCACTCTCCTCCCTGCTGAGATCAACAAGGGTAACTGGTTGCAAGTATGAAGGCAGGCGAGGCTGGTGGCGCAGTGCCCATTCGCCCAAATGGACCTGCCACCACCACCAAACAGGCCTCTCAGTTGAAAACCAATTATAGCTAGCCACACCTCCTGAAGGCTCCACAAGGCCAAGTCATGCGCATTTGCTTGCAAGCTCTGCAAGGACAAGAAAAGAAATCAGATAAGTTTATGAGTTGTGATGGGGTGGAGTGGAGATGCCAAAGTTTGGGATGCAGCCATGTCATCTACTGTTTTATAGTTTAGAATAGTTTAGACACCACTCATTTTCCTATCCTGCTAAAGCTTGTGTTTTCTAACTTGAAACAAGATCTGCAGGACAACACCACATACAGAAGCTGCAGTGTATCTGATGCCTGCTGGCTCTTTCACAGAGGAATTATATATTCATATCTCTCAACTGCTCACTAACTGCAGAATGCACTGCATCTTTATAAAAGCATTTGCTCTCTAGCACTTTATCTGTGCTCGCAAGCAACGTAGGAGGCAACAGGATCATATCAGGGGTTTGGCCGACTAGTGTGTGCTTTCTTCGCTAACAGTTTCCCAGATTGGTTTCCTCTGAGTTTGGGAACTGTCTTCCCAAGAGCCAAGATTCATAAGCCTGCAGCAGCTTTCAAAAGTGACAACACTTTGTCTTTAGAAAAATGGTGTGTGCTTGAAAGACATGCAATATTCAAGCTCCCTGGTTTTGTTTTGTTTTTATAAAAATGGGAAATAAGGTATTGTGTGGGTGGGCAACAACATCACACAACATCAGGCAAACTTTCATATGAACTGTGCTAGAACTGTAAAACTCCATGCAAAACCTTACAGTGACAAAACTACCTACACCCTAAACCCTATTAACCCACAAACAGGATTGCATCAAAGACCAGCTAGTGGAGATACTAGGGCAGTCCAGGAACATTTCAAGAAACTCAGAAATGATTTCTGAATTATGATTCTTTAGACAGTGAGAGTCTCATTTTTCAGATGCCACAATAAGTGATACCTGTGTAGAATCAGGCAACATATTAGAGAGATTGTGTATATCTCCTTCTTTTAGAATGCTGTTGGTTTTATTGGTCTTGTTTGATAAATATTGTGCACCATTTTATGTAAACCAATTAGGGATTTGTCATTTTCCATTAAGTGGTCTATACATTTTGATAGATGAAATCAGTCAATATTTTGCCCACACAATTACTATGAGACGCGTGAAGGTTACGAACAAATGTTTGCGCTCTCCATTCCTGCTGATAGCAGAAATGTAAGAAAGAAGACACCAGCAAATATCATAAGCAGATCTTCTTTAAGACAGCTTTTCTCATTTATGGCTAAGCTGTTTATCCTTAAGTGACACCATCTGTTCTCATTGTCAGTTTTGTGAAGTGTGAATTGGCCAACAAGAAGAAATACTGTAAACTCAGTGTAGTGCACATGTAAACGCCATACTGAGCTGAGAAACATAGGAAGTACAGAAATGAAAACTTGATAATTTTCATTTTATTGTAGACAATTATTCTGCTTAATACTCAGGTCTCCTATCTAGCCATTCAGAAAGATACGGAGATTTATGCACAGTAGTGCTAAATCCATCACATATTGCAAAGAACATTGAAAGTTTTATAAATCTGTCACTATTAAATTCATTGTAGTATGGCAAAGAATAGTAAATAACTATTTCAACCTAAAGTTACAACCTAGTTAGACTGAATAATTTTGATTTATGGCAGTGCAGCTCTTACTTCAGTGGGACAAACAGTCAGTCACGAAGCTGTGGTATTTATTGAATTCAAAACCCTTCCTCCACACCAAAGCCCAGCAAGCAACAACAAAAACTCTTTTCAATCAGCATTAAAGTGGTTATTGAACCACTTGCCTTCCATAGCTTATTTTGAAGCCCAAATGAGGTCACAGGAAAGCAGATAGGATTGTCTCACGCCTGTTTTGATATATCCCAGAACCAGACACAGCTACGTATGCTTCCAAAGCAATCTCTAGCCTCGGATAACAAAGGAAGCAGATGCAGCAGCCAATGTTTTTACTGTATACCCCACTTCCACAGACATTACAGCAGGATGCTACTGTAATCACTTAAAGGTGTAAGAACATAACAAGAAAAACTTGTTGGCAGCAAAATGCACCTTTCAATGGCCTGTCTGACCAGTAAGGTTTTTAAGAGGTCTGAAAGAATTCTAGGAGCTGCGTTCCCCCCTCAAAGAACTACTGTTTC